TTTATTTATTTATATATTATATATTTAGTTTTGTATTTTTTTTATATTAACCTGAATACTTCTGCAAGACTGTAATGCTGTATTGAGATCTTGAATAGAAATAACCACCTTATATTACCTCATATAGTGTGTTGTACGTAGTTATCGACAGTGTGTTGGAGTGCAGCATGAGTCGTTCCCCAAGAAGAGTGAAGAGACTGTTTGTGTGCATTATTTCCACCTTCCTCCTGTGACAAACCACAAACACACAGAAAACATACAGTAGTTAGATTGCAAACTTTCATACACCTCACAGCTAACGTCAAGCTAGCAGGAACAGGCCTTGAAGGCGACTGAGCTTGACACCTTTTGTGGGGTGTCAGGTGCCTTCAGTTTTTTCCCCACAGAATAACGAAGCAGCCACCTCTACGGTTTCGTACTGGGAGAGCTCTGACTTTCACAATCACAAAATATCCAGCAGCACATAATGCTGAGGTACTGTCAGGATGCTAAGCCTCCTAAACACAGTCCTGCCCAACAGCAGGTACAGACAAATGGGGACTGTCCAGTAAAATGACAAGCAGAAAAGAGTATGTTTTAAAGTGCCTGTGAGCATTCAGGATGGTAACCACTCAACGATGGATACGCTAATGATGACAAAAAGCAAATGTGGATTTTATGTGCACTCTAGGCTAACGGCAGTACAAGTCTGCAAATTACATGGCTTGTAAAGCTCTAAAAACAGCTCAGATAGCTCAGAAGTGTTCATTTAAGGGAAACGGCCTCACGCATGCACTTACACTCACACTAATGCACACACTCTATTCCAGTCATCCCCTTACCCAGTCAATAAACCATCCTGATTTGCACTTACCTGTTGTGTCTGGCCTTGCTTTGTGACATATATATGCTGTATATTCAGATATACATACAGGGTACATCTGACAATATATAGTGTGCAATGGAAGAAGCGTATTAAAGGCACAATATGTAAGATTTTTTTTTTATTAAAATATCCAATCGACGGCTTTCAGCCTCACCCTGCTTCATTCTACTACGTTAATAAATCATTAGCTCATCCATGAACATGATTTCTGCCCGAGTCCCGTCAGATTGCATCGGCTGTGGGGATGAAGACGACAACTCCCATGATTCCACACTCAGTCACGCCGTCATCAAACTACACCTTTGTTTTTTGTTTATTTTGAATACGCGCCCTCTAGCAGTGAAAAATTACATATTGTACCTTTTAAGCAAAAAAGATTTTGAAATACCACTGTACATGTACTTGCATCAGTGGGCAGGAATGCTTTACATTATTTACATGTGAGCATGACACGGAAACATTATGTATTGCAAAATACAGAGCATAAAGCGAAGATGAGGTGTTTATGGTTGCCGAGCAACGTCAGATCTTAGAACATTAATAAAAATGATATGAGGTTATGAGTGTTTATCAGCTATTTGGCTCATTCAGTCAGAAAAAATAACAGTAAATAACAGTTTAGTTTTTTGAGTCTTATGCTTTACATAATGTGAAGCTATTTTAGCACTGATGCTAGACTAATTAATTTTGTATGAATAATGCTATTTTTTGGTTTGCATCCATCAAATTTCAGATACTAAAAAGATTAAAATGAAAGAAAACGTATAATTCAAAATATGCATTACACATCGTGATTATTATATATACCTTTTTTATTTTTATATTAAATTACACTTTTATTTTTCAATTCCCAAAAAGATTTATATATAGTAAATTTTTTTTTAATTATTACAAATAATAATTTAAAATACAGTAGCGGTCAACAGCTTCTTTTTCTCAGAAGCAACTTCTTTAGCTTTGCCATCACGGGAATAAATTACATTTGACAATATATTAAAATATAAATCACTTATTTTAAATTGTAGCAATATCTCAAAATATTACTCTTTACTGTATCTTTGATTAAATAAATGCAGCCATAAATATGTATGACATAAATAAATATGTATGTCATACATACATAAATAGGCTACATACATTTTTTATTTATGTATTATACATTTTAGTTTTGTATATTATTTTATATTAACCTGAATATTCTGAAATGCTGTATTGAGATCCAGAACAGAAATAACAACTTTATATTACTAATAATAATTATAATAATAATTAATAATTCACTAGCGGTCAAACTTTGGAATAATTAAGAATAAAGAAGCAGGAAAAACTGTTTTCAACATTGATAAGAATAAGAGATGTTTAAGGGATCTTTAGCAGCAAATCAGAATATTAGAATGATTTCTGAAAGATCATGTGATACTGAAGACTGGAGTACAGCTTTGCCATCACGGAAATAAATTACATTTTAAAATATATTCAAACAGTTATTTTAAATTGTAATAGTATTTTATAATATTGCTGATTTTATTGTAAATTTTAATCAAAAACGCAGCCTTAGTGAATATGAGACTTCATCAAACTTTTGACCACTAGTGTAATTATTTCTTAATAATTATTGATAATAATTAATTACTTAAAATTACATACACATACAGTAGATATAAAACTGCAATATAAATACACACTCACAAACAGCAACATACACAATCACACACTAGTTAAAATATAAGGCTTCTAGGTAGAGTATCTCACTATACTGTAAGTACCAAAAGCCCTGGAGCCATATAGAGAACACCAAACAGTCAGAGGAACTTTAAAATTTCATAAACACATTACTGATGAGGACTCTGTCCTTATGCAACCACAAATTTCACCTTGTCGGATACACTTGAGAGATAGATAATGACTCTTGGAAGACTTCACTGTAAATATGTCTCTGGGAAAGAGAAGAATGGATGTACTCACTTGTGGCCTAAGTGTTTGAGGAAATATGCCAGAACTTTCAGAGCCTGAACTCGGATGCTTTCACTCTTAGAAGCCAGTAGTTTGTACACCACCCTGAAAAGACATTAAATTAAAATAAGAAATATTCTGAATTAATTCACTAAATTTAGTCAAAAACCAAGAAACAGTGGGAAAGTGCCAAACACTTTCTTTTTCAATGTGGCTGCTGCTCAAAAAATTAGAAACTGGCAGATAATAATATAATACTCGAGAGGAAACGGCATTGTGTAAAGCACCATGAAGCTGTTCATCAAAGTCATATCAGTTATTTTGAGCCAAACCCAAAACTTCAAAAAGCAAATAACTCTATCAAATCCATCTATATTTCATTAGCTTGACACACAGGGTGTGAGCTTTATTCTGCTTGTCAGAAAAAAAAATATATATATATGAAAATATCATTGCAATTCCTATGTCAAGTCTTGTGAATAATTCATGATTGTATCATGTAGGCAAACTCCATCATCGCAGACAAGATGAAATATAATGAAATTTGACTGTGTGTGTGTGTGTGTGTATGTGTGGAGTAAGAGGCTGGTGTGAACTCAGATCTCACCAGATGCCGTTCCTCTGGTCAAATGCGGGAATCATGGAGGCTGGGTGCTCAGACATGAGGGCCACCAGCAGCTGAAGAACATCATGGAGGTTCTCATCCTGAACAGAGTAAAACACAAGTTAAATCGCAACCCTGTGCTAAATTTTATTCAACTCCAAAACCAAAGTTAAAAGTTTGTACAGGTGTAACTATTCTTTAATGGGACTATTTTCTACATTTCAGAATAACAGTAAAGTATGAAAATTACTAAATAATGGGCATATGGAAAAAACGAACTGACTGAAAAATGTTAACCTATATTTGACCTTCATTAAAGTCACCACCCTTTGTCTAGATTTGAGTTTTGCTTACTCTTTTCATGGGTTGCATTCTGGGATGCTCAAACAGTACTGAATGAGTCTATCATTTTTTAAAAAGCTTTTGAAAGACTCTTGCGCTCACCAAGGCTGCATTTATTAAAAAATAAAATACAGTAAAAACAGCAATGTTGTGAAATAGTATTAAAATTTTAAATGAGCATTTTCTGTTTTAATATGTTTTTTTTTTTTAATCATGTGATAGCAAAGCTTAATTTTCAGCAGCCATTATTCCAGTCTTCAGTGTCAAGTGATCTTTCAGAAATCATTCCAATATGCTGATTTGCTGCTCAATAAATATTTCTTATTACTTTCAATTATGAAAAGAGTGGTGCTGCTTAATATTTTTGGAAACCGTGATTTTTTTTTAGGATTCTTTGATGAATAGAAAGAACATCATTTTTACAGTATGTGTCTGGTTGTTGGGTGATTTTTCTTTACTACCCAGCCCAAATTAAACATTTAAGAAAATATCTAAAATAATGTTTTATTTTAGTTCTGAAATAAGTAAATAAATAAATATATAAATAAAGTTTATTGATTTTAAAATAATTACACATTCACAGGCACAATTTTAATTGTCTAAGGAACTAATTTAATGAGTTGAGGGGAAAAAATTATTAGAATTAAATTTTTGACTGGAACTGTACTTGAACCTTTTAATAATTCTACTTAAAGGGATAGTTCACCCAAAAATGAAAATTTGATGTTTATCTGCTTACCCCAGGGCATCCAAGATGTAGGTGACTTTGTTTCTTCAGTAGAACACAAACAAAGATTTTTAACTCAAACCTATTTTTTTTTACCTCTGATTTACTGCAATGTCCGAACTGTCCTGAGCGCGTCCTGATCGCGTTCGCGTCTTCTTCTTCAGCCGGGCGTGACGCGTCTTCTTCTTCTTCTTGCTATACGGCAGATCGCAGACTTATAAGTGCATTACCACCACCTATC